GTGGAGAGGGGCCTGCAGGTGGGAGCGGGAGGAAGTGACACTCTTGTATTCTACAGTCTTTGGTACAACTGGTGCAGAGTAATTTTGTCCAGTTTGCTTGGGAGAAAATTTTGGCTGCATCTATTAAAAACAAAAATCAGAATAATCTATTAAAATCCATTTCTCTTTGATACATCAATCCCATTTCTAGATACTGAATCCTCTAAGATGCTTACAGAAACACTCAAGGATGCTATGGGTACTGCCAGGTATGAATGAGAGGAGCCTGACAGGGGCCCTGCCACAGCTAGGAAACCTGATGTCACCAAGCACCATGCAGAGCCATCCTGGAGGGTGAGGGTGAGGCTGAGGCTCAGTCCAGGTCTTCTTCTGGCTGGAGCAGAGGGAACCAGGGGGCTTCCTAGAGGAGAAGACGCTAAGGAATTCCTAAAAAAAAAATGAGTAAGGCAGTCCATGACAGGACAGTGAGTGGGAGGACAATCGGGAAAAAAACAAGTCATGTGCAAAGGCCCAGAGGTAAGAGAGAATATGGCCTTCTTGGAAATTGAAGACAGCACTGATGCCACAAGTTGTGGGGTGTGAAATGCACCATGGTGAAAGATGAAGCTGGAGAAGCAGGTAGGATCTGATGCTAGATCTTATCCCCTGGTGAGGAAGGTCACCAGGGGTGAAAGTCAGACCAACTGGCAGAGTTGGGGCACCACAGATAACTTTCTGGTTTGCCATTCTGACATGGCAGCTACACCCACATATAGCCAGAATGACTGTTAATCAGTCCACAAGGGTGAATGACCATGTGCCTAGGATTTTTTGGCACTGTAGGTCAGGCTTCACTTCACTGCCTGTGAGGGCTGACCATGGCTCTGGCCTTCTTTTTGACAGCCCAGAATTTGAACTCTGGGCTTTGTACTTGCTAGGCAGGAACTCTACTGCATCAGCCATGCCCCTAGCCCTTCTTTACTTTAGTTATTTTTTTATAGGGTCTCACATTTTTGCCTGGGCTGGTCTGGACCAAGATCCTCTTATTTATGCTTCCTACATAGTTGGGATGACAGGCTGCATGCCACCATGCTCAGCTTTTTATTGGTTGAGATGGGGTCTCACTAACTTTTTACCTGGCTGGCCTCAAATCAAGATCTTCCCAAACTTGTTCCTTCCTATTATTGCTTATGCTCTCTCTTCAACAAAATTAGAGATAAGGGCAAAATAGTTTCTGCTGGGTATTGAGGGGGTGGGGGGGAGAGGGAGGGGGCGGAGTGGGTGGTAAGGGAGGGGGTGGGGGCAGAGGGGAGAAATGACCCAAGCCTTGTATGCACATATGAATAATAAAACAAACAAACAAAAAAGATCTTCCCAAGAAGCTGGGATGACAGGAGTGAGCCATCTCACCTGCCTGCCCTGGTCTTTGAGGCCTGTGGAGCTGTACTTCCATGTGTCCTCTCCATGGGGGCTTCCACTGCATGAACTGAGGCCTGCACAGTGCTCAGGCCTCTGAGCAGGGCAGGCTCAGGAGGGACTCTCAAGGCATTCTTGAGCCCTCAGCCTGAGGACAGCATCCCTGGACACCAGGGGACCTTTGTCATGCCCCTCTGGTCAGTGACCCCTCTGACTAGACTCACATTCTTTAGACTGGGAAACTCACTCAACAGCCTTGTTGAGATTGAGGTTGGCAAGTCCTCAGGGAAGCTTCCTCTGGCAAGAGCCACAGGCCCTGAGAACACAGGCAGGATGACATCTTGTGAGGTTAGGAGCTGGTGTAACACAGGAACAGGTATCCAGGGTGGACTTGAGCTGACCAAAGGCCCTGCATGGTGCCTAGTGTCATAGGCCCACAGGGCCTGGGAGAGGAGTGCACAGGCAGGGTGCTCTCAGGGGTGGATGGCAGTAGCCTACACACCAGCCAACAAGAAAGCATTTCACTGTCTGGACGCACGCCCATCGCCCATCAAGTGGCAGTGTCTCATCCTGCTGTCTCATTGGTGTGTCATCCCGGCACCTCTCCAAATCACTCCTCAGGGAAACCCACCGTGAATCAGGGCATGGCTGGCTTCTCAGTCTCAGCCTGACCTCTAGGGGACAGTGGGGGCACAGCAAGGTGCTAAGGGCTGGTGCCCCAGGATGGCTTTCCCCTCTGAAGAGCTGTGGTCTTCCCCTGAAGTTACAGGAGCCTGCGCTGGGATGCATTCTGCTCCACTGGCCGTGAACTGTGCCTGCTTAACACTCTGTGGCACTCAGGAGCCCAGTGGTGGGAACAGGGCCCAGGTCAACCAAGCTAACCTGCTGAATGTTTTCACCCATCAATGGCTATTTGCTGGCTCTGGCCAGTGGAGCCACCTGTTAGGACCAGACCTACATGAGGACAGAAAGGGGTCTCATGGGAAAGGCTTAACACCAAAAGCCACAAACACCTTCACAACTGCAAAGTCCTGTGGAAAATGAGCTGAAGTGCTATGGTTGCCAAGATGCACCAATGAGGTCTTTCTGTCTTCCCATAAGCTCTGGACTTTGGAGGAAAAACTATTGCTTTACAAAGAATTCTCTCTTGGAGACCAACTCCTTCACCCCTATTTCTCATCTTTTCTCCATGAGCCATCTTTACTACAAGTGTGGGTAGCATAGTATTAGGATCACAAAAGCCGTGATCTCAGATACCCCTGGGTAACCCAGGGCTTCAACTCCACTTGGCCCTCCTGTTCCTCCACACAGGCTTCATTTGATATAATTTTGAAATACCAGTGACCAAAGGTAAAAGGAAAAATACAAACTTCAGCTCCAGGATTCAGCATCAGAAAGAAAGGGATGATTGTGCATTGCTGATCTGTCTTCTCAAATCTTCACATTAGACCCTAGACTGGTAAAGCAAACCTTGCTTCACAGTTGAGGAAATGAGGCTCTGAGAGGTTGAGAGGGATTTGCTCAGAGTTGCATGGCTGGTCAGTGGTCACAGTGGGGTACAGATGCAATTCTGGGGGACCTCATAGCCTACCCCCCTCACTGTATATTCTGCTCAGTAATCCATGTGGGGCCTACTCAGTGTTTGTCCATGTTACAGGTCCTCTGTCCCAGTCCTGATGGGCAGCCTCCAACACAAATTCACCCACATGCATCAGGCTAGGCCTGAAGCCCTCACTGCTGGCTTTGCACATGCCTGGGGCCCACTTATCTTGAGTCATCTCCAAAGGCTTTTATTCTGAGCATAGCACCTGAGGTCTACCCACCTGACTCCTACCCTAGCCCCATACCTGCTACCTGGTCCAGATTGTGAAGTAAAATTTATAGGAGGTAATTCATTGGCTTGGACTGAACTCCTGCATTAGGCCCAGAAGATCAAACAAAAATGGAGTTGCTTGTGTGGAAGTTTCATGCCACTAGGCCAAAACTAAGTTGTTTATATGAACTTCCCAGAGATCAGGAGAGAGATGGTAGCCAAATCCCCAAAGTGGCCAGTTTTAGCTGGCATAAGGGACTCTTCTTTGCTTTAACCCTTTGAAAAGCAACCTGAAGTAACCTGACGCTAATCAGCTTTTTGCCAATTGTTCTGTTTCCCTGTTAAAACTGTACAAAACCCACTGCTCTGCTACTGCCCAGTGGGAGCTCACCACCACAAATGAGAGCCAATCAAATTTGTCATAATTTTGTCATTTGACAGAGCCTTGGCCTTTTCCAACACGATTCACTTGGCTACTTTCAGTCCACCTATGGACTCTCCCTCTCCTGGTGCTGCCCACAGACTCCCAACTCTGACCCACTGCCCAGCAGGATCCCACGAGGCCAACCAATGGCTAAAGTGCTCTCTAGGATCCTGGGCCTCCTTCAGTGGCAAAGCTTACTCACTTGGGGGTGGGGAATGAATTGAGGCACTACAGAGCTAAGAGGTTTTTGAGCTGCATTGGATGAGCAGCAAAAGGACCCCGGAGACTGTCAAGAAGCATATCTTATGCTGTTTCTCTGTAGGGTGAAGCTGGAAGTGTTTGGAAAAGTAGTTCACAGTTTTATAATGAACACACCATTTGGTAATGACAACCGTGGTGTGAAGCCACAAAAACTGCAGTGTAATATTTGTTCCTTGTCCTTACTTCCTGGCACAGAGCTCCTAAAACCCTTGGAATTTCCTGATGGGAAAGGTTTTTATTCCTAACAACAGCCTTTTGCCTACACCTGAGTTTATGCTAATGAGATGGCTCAAGGTGGGACCTTTAGATAGCTATAGAATGGGGTTGGTGTCCAGAAAGACCACACTTGGGAATTTTTAGCCCTACCTGCCCTCTACCTCCAGGGCAAGGAGGAGGCTTGAGACTGGGTTATAAAAACTCTTGAACAACCAGATTCAGAGAACTTCTGGGTGAGTAAAGCCACTGATGTGCTAGGAAGCAGGTATACCTAGAGATGGTGGGAAAGTGCACTCACCTTTCTACCATACCTTGTCTAGGGCTTCCCTTCCATGCGGCCATTCCCAAGTCAAACCCTTATGATGAACTAATCACGAGTATAATGTCATCCTAGGTTGTTCTGTGGTCAGCTGGGCAGAACTGTAGGTGGTGTGTGACATAGGGGCAGTCTTATGGGACTGACCCTCCACTCTGCACTAACTGGGAATTGCTGGACATCAGCTAGTGCCACAGACATAAGAATTAGTTGTTGTACAGGAAATGCACAAACACACAGCTCAGAGAGAGACGGTATAGGAGAAAAGGTAAAAAACTCCAGTCCTGCCCACCTGACCTCAAGCCTATCACTTCCCCTGCCTGGGACTCAGTTTCTCCTCTGCACCAGAAATGGGGAGGAAGATGCTCTGTGATGACCCTTAGCTCTTACACTCTCTGCTATAGCTCCATAAGGGGCTTCAATGAACCTGTTCCAAAAACAATTTCTTCATTTTGATGCCAGAGGGCAGTCAGAGGGAGGGTCTGGGCCCTCCCAGGTACCTTGAAAGCAGAGCAAAGGCAAGAAGAGCAGGAAGGGTGAGTAGAGCATGGAGGCTCCAAGGTGCCACATCTTACCTGCTCCATGCAGTCGGGAATTTCTGGTGCACATGGCAGGGTCCCTGCGCTCTCCATGGACAGCACATCCTTCAGTAGCTCCTCACACCCTGTGGACAGATGGACAGACACACAGAAGTGAGGGGTCAGAGCTTCAGCCTGCATGGCTGCCCTGCTTTTGACATTTGGGCCTTGGAGGGAAGGGTGGGAGGGAGGTAGGGAGTCCTCATCCCCAAGACACCAGCTGACTACCCACTCAAAGGCAGGGGAGGAGCAGCCAAGCTGTGGGGCAGCTGGGTCAGGACACTGCACAGGGAGCCACACCAGTTCCCTTTACCCCAAAACACTCTTCTACTGGGGCTAACCCCAACTAGAATACAAATGCAGAGGCAGGTGAGAGCAAGGGGAAGCACAGAGGCCTGCCTGGAAGAAGACTACATTCCACAGGAACTCCATACATTCCTGAGGCTATGCATCCTTCACCAACCCCAGCAAACTTGAGTCCAGGACAGGGCCACCTCCAGGATGGCTCCACCTCCTGCCAACTCTGTTACACAGTTGCACTGGACAAGGTGCACAGCACAGACATCTGGCAGGTGCCGTTTGTGATGGCCCAAAGAATCAAACAAATTCACGCAGAAAACCTTTACTAGAGACCTTCTCTATGCTGTCCCCCAACTTCTCGGCTCATTTTCCTCTGCCCCTCACTTCTACTGAAGCAATTTCTCCTTCCTTCCCATCTCCCAGAACTCTGAGGAACCCAGTGAGGACTTGCCCTGAGCTGACCCACCCAGACAGGAGAAGGTGGCTTCCTTCACAGATGACAGGACACCTCAGGACTTCTAGGAGTAACTGTTCTCTCTTAGCAGCCAGGGGGAGGCCTTAGCATGCCCACTTGGCTGGCAATCTAAGTCACTCTCTCTAGACACACAGCTCTGAAATAAGTTATGGAGTGGCTGGATTCTCACAACTGACCTTTGGGTTTGGGGAAAAAGAGAGAGGGATTTTTCTATTATTCCCTTGAAGGGAGAAGGAATGAAAGGAAGGAATTAGGAGGGGCTTAGAGAAGAAGGGGAGGGAACAACTAGGGGACCCTAGTAGGAGGAAGGGGATAGGGTGCTCAGCTCAGGCCAGAAGTGCCCAGAGCTGGATTTAAAGCTGGAAGTCCCTCCCGTGTCCTGGGAAACTCTTGGGAAGGAAAGAGAGAGGAGAAGGAGAGAAAAGGAGAAGGAGATTTTTCTCCAGGGGTCAGACAACAGGAGGGGCAGGAAGGGCATCCTTCGTGTCTGGCATTCCTAATTCTGGCTGGGATGCTGTGGCAGAGGGACAGAGACCCCCAGCCCCACAACTGCCCCTGGCTGGTGCAGCTATGGAAGCTCAATGCTAGCCAGGAACAAATCCCACTTCCAGGGCCCACCCTAGGCTTTGGAACCTCAAGTCATAGCAGCTTCTCAGCTGGATAGGACCTGAGAGAGCCCATGGGACCTTCCCTCCCCAGATGGCCTCACCTTTCATGGCAAACACCCCACGGCAAAAGTCCTTGAAGTTGATTCTCCCCAGGTCATTCGGATCCAAATACTTCACAAGTTTTTCCACCTGTGGGAAGGAAAGAGGACAGGTATGAGGCAACCAAACACACCCTGAGGGCCAGGATGCTGGGGCAGAGAGGCTGGAAAGGAGGGGATTCACCAACTGAGCCAAGAGCACACCAGCATCTCCAGCCTAGTTCTTTTTTTTGTTTTAGGTGGTACTGGGGTTTGAAGTCAGGACCTCACGCTTGTTAGGCCGGCACTCTATCACTTGAACCACTCTGCCAGCCCTATTTTTTTGTGTTGGGTATTTTTGAGATAGGGTCTCATAAACTATTTACCTGGGCTGGCTTCAAACTGCGATCTTCCTGAGTAGCTAGGATTACAGGCATGAGTCACTGGTGACTGGCTAGTTCTTTTCCCTGGGGTCTATACTAAGCCCCAGGCAAGTGTGGGTCACTTTGTTCCCCTCAGGTCAGGCTCAGTGAGGACTAGTCCCATGGAGCCCTTCTCTAGTCCCTGCCCCAAAGACAGTACACTGAAGGCACATTCAGCTACAAGGTGTTTTTTTGTGTTTATTTTTTGCTTTTTATGGTTTGTTTTTGTTTTTGTTTTGAGGCAGGGACTCACAATGTAGTCTAGGCTAGCCTTGAACTCGAGCTCCTTCTGCCTCAATGCTGGGATTACAGCACTATGCCAGGCTGCTAGGATACTTTAAAATACATAAAATAAAATAAAACAGTGGCTTCTTTAACAAAAATATGAATACTAAACTTATTGTAAAAGAATCTAGAAACCCCACTTCTAAAAGACACATCTTTAACCACATTTGAAAAACCTGCATCTTACAGGTTTGAGACCTTTGATCAAATTCCCCTTTGTTGACAGGAGGATATGTTATACAATGTGTGTACATTATTTAAAACTACGAATTAAATAAGGTTTAAGGCAAAAGCAAGGATGGTCAAGACTGGCTTGATGTGGGGCGTCATATAGGAAGGAGAACAGAGGGGGTTTTTGCGCTGTGGCTGATAGTCTATCTTCTGTCATGCTTGAGGGTCCTCACTATGTTGCCCAAGCTGACCCCAAACTCCTAGGCTCAAGTGATTTTCCTGCCTTAGCCTCCCAAGTAGCTGGGGTTGTAGGTGTGCACCACTGCATCCAGCTCTGTTCTCTGTATCTTGAATGCCCTCAGGTCTCCTTTTGTACCTCTATGGAGCAAGCCTGCCCTAACCACCCCATCCTGATGCTACCTTGTCTTTCAGCAACCAGAACTGTCCTTCAAACTGGCTGTAAAACTTGTAATTATATGTTATGTGATAATTTGATGAATTTGTATCTTCCCTCTACAAAGTAAGCTCCCTGAGGGCAAAGACTATCTGATTTGATCACTACTGCATAGTTGGTAGCTTGCCATGACTGGTATATACTAGAAGCCTCACAAATACTTGCTGAATAAATGAATATAAATGGTTCCAGAGAACATGTAAATTTTTTTGGGGTGGGGGCAGTATTAGGCATTTAATTTGATTGCCTAACAAGTGCTGCACCAGTTATGCCACACCCCAAGCCCTTTTGCTTTCCCTTCCCCTATCCCCTGGGCTGGCTTGAACTTCAATCCTCCTACCTCCACCTCCCAAGTAGCTGAGATTACAGGCATGAACCATTACACCGAGCCCGGTAACTTTTCATTTTGTTAGTTTTGTTTTAAGAAGGGTATCACTATGTAGCCCAGGCTGACCTTAAATTCATGATCCTCCTGCTTCAGCCTCCTGAATACCAGAATTGCAGACTTGTGCCACCACACCCAGCTCTCCCCTTGATTCTCAATTTTTTTTTTTTTTTTGAGACAGGGAGATAGGGTTTCGTTATGTAGCCCAGGCTGGGCTGGAACTCGCCATCTTCTTGCTTCAGATTCAAATGTCAACTTCTTGACATTTTTTTCCTCAAGACTGCTTCCAAATCAGCCTGTAGCACATCTCCACAGCCTGTAGCAGCCCCTCCACAGCACATCTGTGAGCACTCACTCATTCATTCATTCATTCACAAGCGACCACTGAATGCCTCCAACATGCTGGGCACTCTGCTGGGGCAGATGGTAGCTGATGGTGGCACCTGCTAGTCCCGCATGTATGTGATTGGACACATACATGGACACACACATGCAGTCACACTCATTAGTAGGCACCATCACTAGCTACAGCCACAGCAGGCCAGGACAAGCTCTCTCCAAATTCTCTCCCTCAAGTTGCAGATGACTGATATGAAAGCACTCTGGGAACATACAGCCAGCGTGTGGAGAGGGATTCCTGTCACTGCTATGACTAGCACCATTACAGGAAGACCTGCCCTCCCTCCCACTCTGCCTGTCACATGCTCTGAGGCCCAGGCACATCAGCAGACTCTTAGAAAGACTTTTCTAGTGTGGCAGCTGCAGCAGGGTCAGAAGTCCCGTCACCATGGCCTCTTAGCATCATGGGGTTGGTCCAAGTGGGCTCCAAAGATGAGCCCCTAACACCACCACATTTCCTCCCTGAGTGTGGCGGCTTTCTGTTGATCCCTCTGCTGCAGTTTCCCTGCTTATCCACTGTGAGGCCAGAGGTGAGAGATGGCAGAGGGGTTGTGCAAAGTCTACTCTGAGACACCCCAGAACCTGGTACCTGGTGGGATCTTGAGAAAAACCTGCAGAACCTCAGTGAGGCAGGGAGGCCTTTTTGCCAGCTTCTGGCTGGCTAGAGCCTCCTCAGCATTGCAGCTGCCACCTCAGCCAGCTACGGCAGCCTCTGACACTGCCAGGCGATGATGTAGCTTCTGAGAATAGCAATGGCCAGGTGGCACCTGAGGACTGTATGGGAGCTCCCCCACAACCCCAGCTGGCTGCCAACCTCCTCTCCTCCTGCCCTCTCTTCACTGGCATTACAAAGTCTATGACCACAGGGATGGGCACCCCGTACCCCAGTCTCCTGGCACTCAACCCTACATTCTTCTCCAAGGTCAGGAGCTATGCTTAATCATCTCTGATGCAAGCCAAGGGCAGAGCTGGTCCCAGAGTGCTAAGAGAGTGTGAGGAGCCCTCCCTTCAGATGCAGCTGTGAGGTAGCCCACTGCTTTCACCCACAGATTGGGATTCTGTGGTTCCTGAGTACATAGCTTCCTGGGGCTCAGGACACTGCTGGGCCAGGCTGCCCATTCCCGTGTCTCTAGGGAAAGCCAGCTGGGAGCAGGTGGGGCTGGGAGTTGTTACATCATGGGCAGAGGCAAGGTCCTGAGGGCCACTGCATAGTCTGCAGGGGATCCCTTAGTTGAGGCCTAGGTTGCAGTTGGGGCTTCACACCTGTTGTGACTTCCCTTCTCTTCAAAGAATGGCAGTCCCAGAGTAGTGGCCATGAAAGTGCCATGTACCCTATAGGTCAGTCCTGTGCAAATAAGTGAAGATCACTGCAAAGCTCTTAGAACACACACTGGACAGTGGCCCTAAGTCCCACAGCCATGGGTGAGATGGCCCTTAAAATAAATCCCAGCAGCATTGCACAGAGTGGTGTGAGTAAGCCTCGCTGGGTCCCTGGAGGCCGCAGCCACAGCACGGCACTAAGCTGGGATGCATGTCACGTCACAGCAATCTAAATGGTAGCTGCTATCATGGTTCTCCGTTTCAGACACACAGGCTCAGAGAAGTGAAGACATTTAGACCCAGTTGCCGCAGCAGCACCAGTGAACCAGCTCTCACTGATCTGCATTAGCAGACACTGCTCTCTAGTGTCCTCCTCCCTCCGCAAGATGGGTGACCTTGCTGGGGCCAGAGGCAGGCTCTCACATGGTTATTGCACTAAAGCATGGGTTCAGTCCCCCTCTGGCTTGTGTATCAAAAGAGCTTTGAGGGACTGGTGGAATGGCTCAAGTGGTAAAGTACCTGCCTGGCAAGCAGGAGATCCTGAATTCAATCCCCATTACTGCAAAAAAGAAAAAAAAAAGAAAGAAAGAAAAAGAAAAAGAAAAGAGCTTGGGTTAGGAGTGTTGCTCAGAGGACATGTGTGAGGTCTATCTACAACATGGCAAAAGGAAGGCTTCACCCTCTGTGACTAGAACCCCCACTTTCACACTGCTAACCTTTCGCAGTGCTCCCTGGAATGCATTCAGCTCACTAGCTCTTCCTTTCCTAGGTGGGGAAGCCAAGTCCCAGGGAGGGGCAAGGTCACTGGCAAATAACCCTCCACAGGTAGTGGTGTGGTGAAGACGGGGACCAGGGCATTGGTGCGCATACTGTGCTTGGCTGGGTGGCCCTGAAGGCTCCTCTCTGGCTCCCGGGCAAGGACAGAACCACGCTGGGTCTGGCAGGGATGACAGGAACAGCTGCTGTCTCTAAAGCATACAGCTGGGCCACTGAGCTTGCTGCCAGGGAAATTGGTTGTTTTGCTGGCAGTAGAATATTGATCTTTCTTTTTTGGGGCCGCTCAGTTACCAGGCTTCCCCTTCTATTTCTGTCATCTTTCTCTTCAGGCTGATTTTCTGATGTTCACTCCCCTGGGTCACATCTCCAGTAGCTCGGACCAGACGATACCCCGGGCCTCATTGCTGCAGCTCTCTAACTGATTACCAGCCACATTCTCCCCAGTGAGAGAACCCACGCCTCCCTCATTTTAGCTCTGCCAGCCACACTCCAGCCAGCCTTTCGCCTTCCTGAGGTCTCAGCCCTCTGACGAGGGAGACAAGCTGGTTTATCCCACTGTAGTGAGACCCTCTGCACCCGAGGTGCTAAATGAACATGAGCCATTCCTAGCAGTAATCAAAGCAAATGCTGAGTAGCTGTGTCCATGCCAGGCACCATTCTAAGCATTCTGTACACAGGAGCGTATTTAAGCCTCACCAACCCCCACACGGTGGATACTGTTATTATTCCCATTTTACAGATGAGGAAACAGAAGAAGCAAGCTCGTGCATTCAGGGTGAAGGTAACACAGCTAATAGAATTGTTATTATAAGTTTGGGAACTTACTCTGACTAGTGAGAGAATAAATTTGTATTCTGCTACAAAAACTGGCATTAATAAAGGGAACCCTTGCTTAAGAA